TCTAACCAGATTCTTACTCTGGATGGCATTACCTTGGCCTCCAGTAACACTGTGAGGAACCTTGGAGTCATTTTTGACCAGGATATGTCCTTCAATGCACATATTAAACAAATATGTAAGACTGCTTTCTCCGACTTGCGCCCCTCCCTGATCCTGGTTCTACTGGAGGTTTCTTCCTGTTAAAAGGGAGTTTTTCCTTCCCACTGTTGCCAAAGTGCTTGTTTTTTTCTCTATATGTATTATTGTAGGGTCTACCTTACCGTTTAAAACACCTTGCGGCGGCTGTTGTTGTGATTTGGCGCTGTATATATAAAATTGAATTGAAATTCGGCCTTTTCTTTCTCTGCAGATGTCAAATCTTCCCGAGCCTTGAGGTCAGTGAAGGTTCAGCTGAGGGCAGGATCTGCAGACCTGAACGACCCCACAGTGCAAGAATCCATCCTGCAGCAGGTCAGAGGACACACAGGCCCCGATACAAGGAACAGACTGCTATGACTACTGTGAAATGATAGAGAGCAGTTAGTCTGTACAGTCCAGGTTCAGGGAAACGTGACAGCACACAGCTGCAGACATACGGGGCTCATTTAATGGAATCCCATCAATTTTTGTTATTTAACCTTTTTTCATTCTTAACTTGAAGAAGTCATTTAATTTCTGATTACTGTGAGGAGACGAAGTGACCCAATGACAGGCAATGAGGCCTAATAACAAACTTCAGTTTCATCACCAGCCAGTTCATTTAGTACATTTCCCCCAGAAACAACACGAACAACGTTTTCTGCTCACTACAGAAACAACGGCTGATTAATGAGGAGCTTCTGTTAATGTGTGAAAACTGTGTTTCAGGTGAGGGAGAAGCTGCTGGAGCAAGGGATCAGAGAAGAGGTGAAGCTGAGGTGGAAGACGCAGCCTGATGGGGAGATTTTCCACAGAGAGGAGGAGACAGCCGGTTACTGTGAGAAGGAAGACTGTGGGTCGGTTTAGTCTGAACGTTATTGGCTGATGTTCCTCAGATGATCTGCTGTGTAATTCAACTAATTTCCATCTCTATACTCTGACTGCTGGACTATAATAGCGTAGCTTTGCATGACTGATAGTTGGAAATAATCCTTCTTTATCCTAAGCTCAGATCACAGAGTGTGAGCTGTTTTATGCCTCTTTGTTCTTCTGATTGGTGAAGCTAAAGTTTGCAGGTGACAGGTCGTATCTTTGTTCATCTCTGTTCCTGGACTTTGTGAAGCAATTCTTACCAAAGGCCATTTGTGGACAGAGCATTTAGAATAGAAATGTACCCATGCAAAGTAACTAAATGTTTAAAACTGTGTAACCTTTGACTGAAAATAAATAAAAAATATTATACAATGGAATACAAGTTTTTGACCATGTTTATGAATTTTAGGGCTTTTCAAACAACATTTTTTAAGATGTAATATCTCCCACAAAGATACAAAACAGAAATGACAAAAGCTGTCATTGACCCTGAGTTTTTTGTCTGAGTTTGGAGTTTTTGTATTTACATTTTTGCCTTTTTCTGTACATATAGTGTTCTGAGTTTTGGGGGTCTGTATTACATTTAAAAAGGTTTAGCCTTAGTTTTGTCTTTAGGTTTTCTGGTTTAGTTTTCTTTGTGATTATAGATCTGTTCTAAATTTAAATAATTTTTTTGACACATTTCATTTTATTCTCAAGAAAACTATAAATAATTTTAGTTGTTGTAATAAATCTTTTCCATCACTAGCGACATGCTGGGGAATTCTAATATTATGGTCCTTCACGTCTACTGTGAGTATAACTTTAAAACTTACACACAAAGTAGTGTGATGTTTTATATTTGATTGTGTTTTTTTTAACAGTTATTGTTGCATTAATTTATAAGAAACATGTAAATATATTCAAACCACTTAAAAAAAACTAGCTGCTGTCCTTTGTAACCTTATAGTCTCCACAGTTTTAGAAAAACAGATCAAAAATTTGACTGCAGAGACACAGATGCTCAAAATGAAAAATGAGGTGCTGGAGACACAGAAGAAAAACCTAACAGAAATAATACAACAGATGTCGACATCATGGAGTGACTTCAGTGTTAGTCAAGCTCAATGGAGCAACATCAGCTACAGAGCAGGAACAACAGGAAGCTCAGCTTTAGAGGACTCTCATGTTGTGTATTTAGGTTTTTATGCAGATCACTGTTATTTTAGTGTTGTTATCAAAGTTTTGATTTTATTCATTTACTTCTATCTTCTTGTAATTTTATTTTTCCCCACATTAGTTTAGTTAATTTTCAAAGTAAATTTATGCTTTTTGTCTCAGTAGTTATTTCAGTATAATTAAACAAATTATTAAAAACTTTTGCCTGAAAGTCTGCTGGAATATTCATATGGTAGGCTCAGAATTTGGCATAAACAGCACGGAAATATGGATCCAACCTGCCCTGTATCAGCAGTTCAGACTGGTGGTGTCAAAATAATGATTTGAGAGGTATATTTAAATGGCACACATGGTGTCCTTTAATGCCAAATGAGTATTGATAAAAATTAGTATTGTTGCTCACCATGCCCATCTCCTCATGGCAACAGTGCACCCATTTTTCTGATGGCTGATTCCAGCAACATAGTACATCATGTGAGTTCACTGTAGTCAAATAGCCCCCATAGTCAACAGGTCTCTATTTCAATAGAGCACTTTTGATAGAGTCTTACAAATCTGCAGTAACTGTTTGAAGGTATCATGCTAATATGGACTCAAGTGTCTCTAGATATTTATATAGAAAATATTTCAAGTATCCTCCACATGGAATTAAGGGAGGTCTGACCATAAAAATGGCTCCAACCAGGTATTACTGTGGTGCACTTGATAAAGTGTTTTCTGAGTGTATATAAGAACATACAAGGGGCAGAGTGAGAACTATGCCTCAGACATGTTCAAACAAATAAATAATTCCCATCAACAAATAGATATGTGTGAAAAAAAGACTGACAATCTGGTCCCTATTGACATGAGATGTGTTGTTACCACATGCTCACATCTAACAGACAATTGCATCATACCTTTATGTGTATGATGCACATTAAGATAGTTGTATTTATGTGAAAGGTTAAAATCAGAAGCACTGAGAATAAACAGTTTAAAAGATTTTCTTATTGAAAATGTATATCCTGTTTTAGTTTTGGATATACTAAAATCATAAAGAAGATTGTTTATTGGGAGTCAAACTAATTTTATTCTGAGTATTTTTATATGTATTGAAAACTATGAGTCACCTCAAATGGTTCCATGGCTTCGTGGAGCTATTGGTATTTTATGTACAGAATATATCTGATCTGCAGCAAGCAGATGAAAACAAAATTCTAATTTCCCTATTTGCTGTTTTGAGGTGGCAGACATTCTCTCTAGATTACATTTTTATATTGAGTAATGCACAAATAATTTTTCGATTTCCAGTTCCCAAGGATAGTTTTCTTCAAGAGGTATATAAGGCATTCAGAACTATGTTTGCTGTATGCACATCCATAGATAATTCACTTACCTGACCTAAGACTCACAGTGAGGTAAGGTTGGAAAACAGCAACTAAACCATGTGCATAGCTATTCATATATACTCTGCCAGAAACTCTGAACAGGCGTACAAGACCTTAGAGCTTGCATATAGTTCTCAGATTAAGGAATTTAAACACATTTGTGTTGAGAGGTTTTTATCTTGAGGGATTGATCTTGCTCCCATTTTGCAGTTGGGAAGGAAATTGAGTCATCTATTTTAAAAATAACCTCAGTTCAGTTGATTGGTATTAAATCTTGCCTGTATCACAGGTGCCTCTGTCAGTGTGCCCCAGGGTGGCTGTGGCTACAATGTAGCTTGCCATCACCAGTTGTGTGACTGTGTGTGTGAATGGGTGGATGACTAGATGTGTAAAGTGCTTTGGGGTCCTTAGGAAGTAGTAAAGCGCTATACAAATACAGGCCATTTACCAATCATTTACTGATATTCAAGAAATTTACTGTTGCTGATTTCATAATTTGATACATGTTATTGGAAATAAGTAAAGTTTCTGTCTTGAATAACATGTTCTAGATTTTTTTACATTTGTAATTCTTTTCTCGTGCCACGAAGGAAAATGTTGTATTTTCTTTTTCTGATATCTAGACTCCAAATGGGTGTTAGTTTACAGAGGATAAGTGAAGATTTAAAACAGTTTTAAAGCAGATTTCTACTCTTCAGCTGAGTGCTTGTTCTAGCCCTAACCATGAGCTCTCTAAAAATCTTTGTTTTGACCTATTTTTAAAACATACTGAAATCTATTTTTTTCCATAAAAATTTTGAGATGTTTGAGTGTAGTGACTTAAACCAAGAAATAGAGGGTTTATTAGGGATCAGCAAGAAAAAAATATTTTTGAGACGGGTAAAGTTTTCCAACAGGTAAAATCATCCTCTACCATTTTTAGCAAACAAATGTGATTCTGGAAAAAAAAAATCCTCATTAAAACGATTGCTCTTCCCCTTTTTCTCTTGATTGGCAGCTCCGTAATCAAAATCCTGTGTCCAATGTATCCACTATCCCTCTCATAACCATGTAAGCCTGGTCAGACATAACTCATTCTGACCCTTTGTATACTTCTGCATCATCCTCTTTCCCATATTTTCATGGTATGGCTCATAAAGAAAAAAGAAAGACTAGACTTATACTGCAATATTTTACCAATTGCCAATAAATAACGTTAGCTGTATTAAAAAAAATTATTCTTCCCTGCTCGTGAACGCAACGTCGTGCTCTTGTTCAACAGCGCTAGCGTTTCTACTGCGACTGCGCGAATTGTCGCCCGGAAACAGTATGGTTGTTTTGGTGTCTGCTAATGTTGTAGTCATTTGATAAAAGGCAGAGGAAAACTTTTACCGTGGTAGTTTTGGCTGTGGGATCAACACCACGTATCAGCATTATCTTTACTATGTTTTTTCCGAGTTGATAGAATGAACAGTGCCAACAGAGAAAAGCAGATATTTTGTTTGTAGACATTTTATAGGTAGCTAACGGTTAGCTAGCCTGTTCTGGCTAACTGAGAGATTGTCACTCTGTCAACAAGTTTTGTTCGACATGGACTCCGCGGCGCTGGAACTTGATGCTGTCACTTTTGCCAAAACAGCTGTAACATATGACCAGAATGGCAAATATAACGAGGCTGTATTTTATTATAAGGTAAGTGCCAATAAGTTTTACCTGTATACGTATGCTGTTTTTCAGGGTTAGCATTTTGCTAATCTTAGAAGTTCAAACTCACTTTCATTTCTGTAATAGCCGCAGGATTAGATTTAAGAAGTCTACTACTTCACGAATCAACAGTTTACAGATATATTTGGTCAAAGTTGAGGGTTGCTAGTGTCCCTGGATGCCAGTACTTAGTGACCGGATGTGATACTTTTCTAACCGCTGCCTCTTTTATGTTTGATTTCCATAGGAGGCAGCTCAGGCCCTCATTTATGCTGGCATGGCAGGGTCCAAACTGGACGGGATCCAGGAGAAAGTGAATGAATACTTGGATCGGGTTCAAGCCCTCCACAATGCAGGTAAGCTCACCTCACAATAGGCACAAAGGGGTTTGCTTCTGATGGCTTTTCAGATGACTTACAAATGAAGGCTTAATGTGAAATATAAATCACATAAAAGCTACTCTAGTAATATAGAATGAAAATATAGACCTGGAACTGAATATACTCCCATTTTAATTAATGTATGGATAGCTGGAAACTATTATAATAAACACACTCCACATGTTGTTCATTAAACTTGTTGTCTAAAAGACACTCATTATCCTGTTTTACTGGAGTTGTTGATTTATCTTGAGCAACACCTTTAAAGAGGTGAAGTGTTTAATGGGTAAGAAAATGTTTCTCTTTTTTACTGAAAAGGACAGTTTCTCGGTTTCTGTCTGACCAGTTTTTTCCATGACTCTCCTCATGCTCTTGATTTGTGTGTTCACATGGGTGTGGCCACAGAATGTACAAGAGTCCTGTTACCACTAGATGATTTGTAATGCTGGGTATTGCTGTTTAGTGATTTCGATGATATGAAATGTAGAAATTGATTGCTCTTTTTTTCTATCATCTTTCTATCATTTATCCAGAAAGCTACCAAAAAAATCACA